TGGATCATTCAGTCTAATAAACACTGGTCTGCCTTAAAGGATTTACAGTAAAGCTTATGTAGGTAATGATGTTCTACTTAAGGCTGTTTGAGTTCATCGAGTACTGAAGATTTCATCCCATCACTTAAATATAGGTCAGCCCTAGAGATAAATAGCATCATTTGTTAAGAAAATGATTTCATGCAACCTGTATGTTGTGCATCACAGTCTACAAATGAATGCTCTATGGCCTACGTGTAGTAGCTCACTTCAAATGTCAAGGTCATTTACCACAATTTGAGCCATGCTTTTAAGGCAGTAAATTCACCTGCCTCAGAACACAAGGCGCCTATCATCACTCAACCACATGCCCCACAGACCCTGAGCCTTAAACAGCTTTGAGAAATTTCTAGGCTGTATGATGTTCAATTTTTGCCCTTTTAATATAGTTTACAGTTGTGAGAAGCAGGTTGGGACAGAGTCCATTTTCATGCTACACACTCAAAATGTTCATCTATGTGGATGGAACCACGATTTACTTTGTTAAAATTAAGTGTGAACTCACTCACTCACTCAAAGTTTCACCCTTGTAGCATTATCACCAAGGCAGCAAAACAAGCGCTTTTCTAAACACCTTTTTTTCTTGCTTTGGTTATTTATAAAGGTCAGAATCTCCCTCCTAAAAACCTCCCACCTTCCTGATGTGCTCAAGATAGAACCTTTTTAATAATCAGCTTGCTTTTCTTAGAAACAGCCTGTCAAATAAGTGAACTTACAGTATGTTGCACTTAACTATGGCTAAAAAGAAATCTAAGAGACCAGCATTGATTTACAACCTGTTTTTTTGCTCCAAATGGTGCTTAAGAAGATTCTGATTCCCCCTGAGTGCCTCACTTATAGTCTTTGAAGTGCCTGAAGCCATGTGCTGAAGCTCAGTATGTGCTTATATCTGGAGCTTTTGTTAGTCACTTCATATGTACTGAGTCCTGTGCCATCATTATTCAATGATTCACACTGTGCAGCCAAAACAGTCACTCTTATCTGTTAAGAGGCTGCAGAGACACAGTCAGACAGCTATGGGTGGGTGGATGGGCGGGGGACAGAGGAAGAGAGAGAAAAAAGAGACACTCTTACTCTATTCTCCCTCACTCTTGTGGGAAGTGACTTTCCTCTCTTCCTCACAACATGAAGTCAGGGAGCATCCCGACTTCAAGAGCTTTAGATCCTGAATATTCACGCTGGTGGCATTTTACCATGTGTAGGTGGTGAGGGTTTGCAGCGATAAAGGGAAACGTGCGAAGTATTGATCACCGCTGCTGTTGTCCTTGTTTACTCTGTGTCTCACAGTACCAGCTAGCTCTCAGAGAAAGATAGTGAGACATAGATATGGAGACAAGGTTGGCTTTGGTTATTCAACAGGGATGAGCTGAACACAATTAGGATTAATTTAGAGAGATATGGTTTAAAAAACTAAAACAATGATGCACACATTGTTTTTCTGTGCCTGAATTATATGGCATTATAATAATACTAGAATTGTTTAGGTTTGATATGAACACAGATCAGTTATATTTATCCTTAAAATCCACCTGCTTCTCTAATTTTAACTAATGCTGGTTAAAGAAAAATCTAACATTTTATTACGTTCAACAGTTGTTACCAAATGTCCTATAGGTCCTTGAGTTACACTATTTTCCCTTCAAACCTTGTCTCATTTAATTTAATTGGTAATATCTTACATTTCCCTGAATGACTGTCTATGATTGCAGCAGTGTCCCTAATTAAAATTAAACCTATCTTGTGACTGCAGTGCATTGTGGTCCATTAAGAGTCCTGCTGGTGGAGACAATGGTATGTCATTGGTTGGCATTAGTATCAGTATGGGCTTCTCTGGAACAGTCTAGACGTGACTACTAAACAACAACAATAGAATCAGAAAGTCAAGGTGAAGAACAGAAGCAGTTAGGACAAATAAGGAGTCCTGCATCCTATCTGACCCATACAGTTGTTTTTGTCTCCTTTCTCATACGACCTATTGAAGCATCTCCTGAAATAGTGCCTACGTTAGCAGGCACAATCACAAGAACTCCACCAACATTAACGACAACATACGTACAACAGCCAGAGATGTATGGTTATGATGGTAAGCATACTGGAACTCTGTCATCATGGAAACTGTCATAAACATGCCACTATGATTATGAAATGTCATAGTTTCATTATACTTAGTCACCCAAAATACTTGCTTAGGTTTAGGACCCAAAACTGAAAAAGACAAACTGAAATTCAATGCTGCTCGAATGGGGGAAAGTCCTGTGTTTTATACACTGACCACCCACCAAAACATCCTCCTAACGCACACCGTGTGCCTCTATAGAGTATACAACATCACCTGCTGGAGGAAGAGATTAACAGAACAGGCTGAAATAATCTCAAAATTCATATTTCTGATATCAATTCAGGTATTCTTTTCTTTTTAAATTTCTTCCCTTCTCAGTCTCTCTGGCCCTTCACTTCTCATCCACTTACCATATTTGCCTCTGCTCCATCATTAACTGGGATGAGTTTTTGCTCAAGGGCATTTGGCTAGCTACAAGCTTTTATTATAATATACAGTATGCTGCAGTACCGCCTCATGAACTGCCAGTAGTCACCAAATTTACATATCAAACCTACTGTAGGTTTTTCATAACCAGAACAGCTCCTTTTCCGCCAATAATGGAAGCGACTGCATTCAAACTGTGCTGCCTTTCTCTGTTAAAAATAGATAAACCTTGACAAAATCACTGTCTTGGCTTCACTGTTATTTTCAATTTACATGAAATCTTTTTTGAAACTAATTAACAAACATCAATCTCGTGCAAAAGACAGATAAATGTCCTACTCAAAACCAGTAAAAAGCTTTGTCTTACAGCAGATATATTGAATGACCAGTGAACTTTGTGTTTTAATGAATCTCAGTGAAGCCTGAGATGCTTTTATTTCCATCAGCATGTTCAGAATAAACCTTGGCAGTGTGTCCATTATTGTCAGGTATGTCACTTGTAAATTAGAACATGCCTTTTGTTTCTCTTTTTATAGACAATAGTTGTCTAAATGAGGAACAAAATTAACACATTTCTGCCACAAAATTTCTCATTTCTCACTGTGAGGAAGCAGCACGCCTTGCTGTCTGGCACAGTATAACTTGAGAGGCAACAAAGATTGAAATGTTCTAATTGTACATGTATTGGCTTTAATACAAATAATGAGACTGTTGTCCAACCATTTCACTGACAAACAAAATCACAGTTTAATTAATTAAGCCTGAAACCTAATGCCCATGCCTGCCTTTTCAAATTAATCTTCCTATAATAATCATCAGCTGGCTGTGTTGTCTGTTAAAAATGGACAAACCTTGACAGAATCACTTCAATCAAAAAAAAAACAGCAAATGAACATTATCTTAGTATAGAAAATCCTTTACAGGTGGCAATAAATAAAGCTATATATTTTGTGTGTTAGTTAATGTGTCCCTGTTGACTGGCATCTTTAGTAGAGGCTGTGGTCTACTTATTGAGGTATCACACTGTTCTGCCTCCCTAGCACAGTGGGCAGACTTTTTGTGCTTGCAGGGTTACTGGAGGGGTCACAGGATGCTCATCCTCCATTCAGTGTACATGTGGTTTGTGGACTTGGATAAGACCTTTGACTGTTCCCTCAGTGAGTCTTGTAGGGGCTACTGCGGGAGTTTGGGGTACTGATTTGCAGTTCTGTTGGCTTTATCAGTCTGTGATTTTCAGAATGAACAGGTGTGGTGGGAAGCATCTGGGATCAGAGTCAGCATCTCCAAGCCTGAGGCCATATTTTCTGCCAAAAAAAAGGTGGGTTACTCCTTTCATGTCGGGAGTAAATTCCTGCCTCGAGTGAAAGAGTCAAGTATCTCAGGGACTTACGGAACGTAAGACTGAAGGGTAGGTCGGTGTGGTCATGCGCTTTGGGTAGTGACCAGGTAGCAAATACAAGCAGAGTAGAGATGCTATTTCTTGGCATCAAAAGGAGCCTGCTGAAGTGGTTTGGCTGTCAGCTCAGGATGCCTCCTGGGTGCCTTCCAATATAGGTTTCTTGGGTAGATCCAACTGATAGGAGGACCCAAGGTAGACCCAGAACCTGCTCAAGAGACTGTATGAGAACAACTCAGGATTCCCCAGGAGCAGCTGGAAAATGTTGCCAGGCAAACGGATATTTGGACTATCTTGCTTAGCCTACTGCCACTGCAACTCGACTCTGGATAAGTGGCAGAAAATGGATGAATACATGTGTAGTACATATTGGTGTGTTGCCAGACCATGCAAGTCTGTGTACATATTTTCCATGTGTATAGTTTTACACAGAGGAAGGAGGTTGGGGGAATCACTCAGCTGACACACTGGGCCATATACTGCTCTCTGCTTTGCTCCCTTCTGTGTGTTCTTGGAAATGTGGCTGCCTTGTGTTACCCGGCCAGGCACATGAGACAACTCCCAGTACATTTCTGTCAGTGACGTGTGCAAATGTCTGTCTATTTGCCTGTGCATGTCATTTCTCAGTTCAGCTTTTGGATCAAATTTGTATCTCACTCAATGCAAAACACAAAATATTTGTGGATGAAGGTTTAGCTGTGTGACTGTTTCAGGACACAAATATACTGTGATGAATAGTAAAAACAAACGTTAATGCTAGACTTCCAAAATTCAGTAGCTGTTGCAGGATTCAGTAAATGCAGCTTACTGTCAGTTTTACGTGACAAATGACACAAATGAGAGATTTGCCAAAGAAAGGCAGAAATCTGACAGCAGGGACAGTTAGTCACCATCTTCCTTGATCCACTCTCTTTCCCCTGGGGACATGGCTAAACCACACAGGAACCTGTTTGTATCTGTTTACTTCCTTCTGGCTTGCTCATGCACAAACTCCACTAATAAAGGAAAGTTTATGAAAATGTCCTCTTTTTGTCTCTTCTCCCTCCTCCCTCTCCTCTCCATTATCCCTGTGTTGTCCAGATGGAAGAAGTAATAGCACGCATGCAGGATGAGAAAAATGGCATCCCCATCAGAACAGTGAAAAGTTTTCTAACCAAGATCCCCAGTGTTTTTTCAGGTAAGGCTCCTATCTCTCTACTCTTCTATTGTGCTCTTCTGTTCTTCTCCACTTGGCTCTCATCCACTGTACCCAACTAGTACTGTGTTCTTGCCAAACAAGACGCCGAGAGTATTTAGAGAGTTAAATTTCACACCAATAGTGCCAGAATGTCAAGAAGACCATATTGGATTTTCAAGCTGTGCAACCTAATAGATAAGAATCCATGCTGGAGTGATACTCTATAAAACACGAGTTCAATTAAACACTACATTTAAATATCACTGTCATTTTTTTATGTACATGAATATAAAATTTAACAATGTACTGCTGTATATACTTTAATAATAGTAATGAAACCTTTCTGCATTAAATGTACAGTATTACAGTGTCAAATTGAATTAAATTACAAGCCTATTGATTGATTCTACAGCTTTCCTGATAAAATATTAAGAATTTATAATTGTATTTATAAATGCCTAGCATAATTTTGCCTCAGGGTGCCAACAATACCAGAACTACCACTGGTCATCATCACTGTTAACAAAGGACAATGCTTGGTTTATCATTAGCAGTGGCATGTTCAGGACTATTTGACATGGGTGGCTATGAAGGGGCACTGATTCAAGAAAGGTCGTCAGAGAGCACCAACATGTGATCACACACGGATAAATTTAAATAGCTAATTTAAGCTTTAGTGACGTCAGTGAAGCAGTGATGAATGCCTTGGGCATGTAAAGGGCAGATGATGCACACTTCTTTTTTTGTTTCTAAACAGTGTTTGTGTTTGTTTAAGAGGGGCTATAATGATGAATGATTTCACACCTGGCAAAGCAACATCAGCTCACATCCATCTCTACTGTGACTGTTTGACAGATTTTATACAATTGGTACAACTGGCAAGCAGCTACATTGGCTACATCTGCAGGGAGCATGACAGAATTGTAACAGATGGTTCGAATATGTAGCTCTGTTTTACCTATTCACTGCATAGTACATATCCCTATCTTAATGCAGAACCATACTCACAGTACACTCCATCCACATCTAAAAACTGTAACCATAAAAACGATTTTTTTTACAGTGTGTGCTCTTTATATTAAGGCAGCATCAGTGTCAAGTAAATGTCAATGATAAAGGATTTCAAGTGGATAGGGATTTTTAAACATTTTCTCAGAGTATAATGCTCAAACTTTATGCTATAACCCCCTAAACATCACTCCCCTGGCACTTTCTAAGGCTGCAACAAGGACACAGTCCCTCTATAGCTTCCCCTCTCTGAACACTGCCATATGTGTTCATTGGAACACTTGGCCAAGTTGTAAGCACAACAGCCAGGGACATAACCTAGGTGGCTTCAGTGTGTTTTCTCATTCCATGTTTGATTTTTAACTCATATGGATCTATTGCCATGATTTTAACAGCCTCTTAATATTAGCATACATTTCATTCATTTCATGCTTTTATTCATGTATAATCTAAACTATTAATTTCAAGCATTCATTTTCACCTGTGCATGTTGGCCTTTGCTGTATCCTGCAAGTACAGTATTTCCTGCAACAATTACCTAATATTTACCATCACTGGGATCATTATTAGTTCATCTTTTTGCTTATCTCTCTGTTTATATTTCTATCACATTCTTGCACCTGCACACACTTGCACACAGACACACACACAGCCCAATTCATGAGCATGATATTATTCAATTTGGAGAACAGCCTTGTTAGAGGATTACCTTACACATCTCATCTCAGAAAGTGGGCCAACTTTGATAGTGTGAAAATCGGGCTGTATTAATGATGTTAATCCATGAACAATCTCATCTGGTTATGGGGCACCAACAAAGAAATGGGTGCAGCGATAAAAAAAAAAAAAAGAGACAAGACAGAAAGGTAGCATGATGGATAGCGAGACAGCTACAGGGCCTTAGAGCCTCACTGTACGAATTTCCTCATGTCTTCATTTCACACCTTTTTTCTGGCTTCTGTGGCTCCCCTCTCCTCAACACACCTTCACCTGTCAGCATGACAGACATTAATAATAGCTTGGAAAATATATATTTAGCCAAAGTGCCAAAGTCACATGTGGTGGGGTGTGAAAAAGCCCAGGGGGCAGCTGATGCTGTTATGCTTTTCTGAGATGTGAAAATGATTCAGTTGCATTCTCAGATGGAGATGATGCAAAATGACTTCCACCATATACAATGTTTGATGCCTGTTCAAGAAGAAATGGCATGCGCCTATAAGTCTAGACCACTACTCAAAACTGTTGTTGAGGATTGCATCATCTGTGTCTTGCTTCTGCTCCATTTTACATTTACACACTTGCCTCATCTTTTTTGAGACCATATTCTTATGTGTTTACATCTGAGGTTTTGTTTGTGACAATTGGAAATGTCCAATGTGATGCACTGAATCAAATGAAACAATTGCAACTGCATTGTCTGTGCTGTGACTGAGACAAAGTGTGTTGTTATTGTACACAATAAATGCTTCATTATGCCATTGTACCTCTCTGGTCATTTATATTAATGGATCACAGCCAAAGAGAGCTTGTAGAGGGTGTCAGAAACGAATATGTGGTAATGGATGGCCTATTACCTACCCAAATGGAGCAAGGTGAGAGGAATTGTTATGCACTGTGATAATGAGGGGAGTTGCGTAGGGTTAAGAGTGTCATTGTTTTCCCTTTGGTTTGTATCTAAATGCAAAAAGGTGTTTCAACACACTGTGAATGTATTAGATATGTCAGTGATTCATATTTTTGTGCTCTCTCTCTCTTTCTCTCAGGTTCTGATATTGTACAGTGGATGATCAAGAATCTGGACATTGAAGATCAAGGTAGAAGATCTAATCGATTTTTATCTGGAAGTCATACAGAAGTTTTCAGCATTCAAGTTAGTTGTAGTTTGGCCACTGATTTAACAAAATGACCAGCAGTTGTAGCGGCAGCAGTGGATATGACGCAGCTCATGGAGGCAATTAAGGTTAACACTTTGGCCAGAGCATGTTGTCAAAATCTGTGCACCCTGGACAGGTCGCCAGTCTATCAGAGAGCTGACACTTAGAGTTATACAACCACACACACCCACATTCACTCCTACAGGCAATTTAGATTTGCCAATCAACCATAGCTGCATGTCTGTGGACTGTGGGCGGAAGCCGGAGTAAACCCACGCAGGCACAGGGAGAACATGCAAACTCCACACAGAAAAGCACTGGGTCGGCCTGGGCTTGCTGTGAGATGACAGCGCTAACTGCTGCACCCACCATGTCTCCTATATCATTATCCATTGGGAAGAAATGTCCATAAATCATAGAAGAAATACTTTCTCCTAATAACTCTAGAACTTGCCTGAGAATCTTCAGGCAAGTTGTAGTACACAGCTAACTAGCTAGTTTCTTAACTGATGTGAATGTTGGTATAAACACTAAATAGTAGAAGATCATTGTTGCAGTTGTCAATACTGTATAATGTCAAGCTTGCTGGTGGTTCATAGGATATTATACAATATGTTTGAACTTAGATGTCTTCATTAGCCTGCACCAAAAGGAGAAACACCTTAAGTTTGTGAAACATCTTTCCAAAGTTCTGCTTTTTTTTTTTTTAATCTGCCATTTTGTGTGCATGAACTATAACAGCGAAATTGTTCTGTTTGATAAAGTAGAACTAGACTGTCTTGAGGGAATTGTGAGTTCATTAGTTGAGCTCCAAATAACTGAAGTGGGCAAGTTCAACTGGGATAAATATGAAAAGTTAAAACCTATTTATTTCTTGCATCGAAGGAGGTGATAAAGAAGTATAGTTAATAATGTGAAAAGTCAAATCAAATCAAATTTATTTATATAGCACTTTAAAAACAACATCCAGCTGACCAAAGTAATTTACATGGCAGAATAAAATCACAATAAATGACTGAAATAGAGTAAATAAGATCAGTGCCAATAAAAACAAAACAGCACAATAACACAAACACACAGTTAATATACATTCAATAAATTTAAATGAAAAGGAATTTTAAAAAATGCATTAGGGCCCTACTGTGTATTAAAAGCCAAACCAAATAAATATGTTTTAAGCAATGATTTACTGAGGTCAGTAGCTGACCTAACAATAACAAGGTAGACTATTCCACAATTAGGGGCTGCAACAGTAAAAGCACCCAAAGTGTTTATATCTGGCCATAGGAACCTCTAAAAGAAACTGGCTTGAAGATCTGAGGGACCTTGTAGGTTTGTGCCAATGCACTAATTCAGTGGGGTAAAATGGAGCCAAACTGTTAAGAGCCTTAAAAACAAAAATCAATAACTTAAAATCAATTCTAAAATGGACTGGAAGCCAGTGGAGAGAAGCCAGTACCATGGTTATATGCTTGAATTTCCTAGTATTTGTCAAAAGACAAGCAGCCGCATTTTGCACCATTTGGAGACGAGTGAGAGAAGACTGGTTAACACCTAGGTGTAGAGCATTACAATAATCAAGTCTAGAAGTGATCAAAGCGTGGATTGCAATCTCAAAATCATTAAAAGAAAGGAATGCCTTGACCTTGCTTAACAGCCTCAGGTGGAAGAAGCTAAATTTCACAACTGAGTTGATTTGCTTGTCAAACCTCAAGTCGCCATCAAACATCACCCCTAGATTTTATACAGTCGACTTCAGATGTCAAGCTAGGGGGCCCAGGCCCTGGTTAGAAGCAGTTAAGTTCGCCAGATCACCAAATAGCACACACTCTGTCTTATTTTTGTTGAGATTTAAAAAGTTAAGTGCCAACCATGATTTCAAGTCTGTCAGACAGTCAAACAAGAGCTGTAATGACATCCCTCTTGATGCCTTTAATGGTAAGTAAATCTGAATGTCATCAGCATAACAATGAAAAAAAAGCAACGTTAGGTGTGTGTTTGCTTGGATATTGGAGTCTGTGTGCATGTGGGTGTGTATTGCTGTGTTTGTCTGCCGTAGTGTGCCTCAGTATTATGCAGGTGGTGTTGACAATCAATTGTTCACTTAGCTGAGTCATCAACTCACAATACTTTTTGTATTGTTTTATTTGTATGCAAAGATTTTCCAGTCTTTTTCTATCAGTCAGATGCCTGGCTTTATATACATGTGTATGTGTTTATCTTTTTACATAGAGAAACTTGTTATAAATAATAATGTAAATAATCAAGAGCCACAAAGCGTGTCAGATCAGTTTTCGTTAATGTGGGGATAAACTGGGCCAAAAATGTTCATTTTTGTTGCACTGTTACTGAGGTCTGTCAACAACACATAGTGTTTCCTCCAGCAAATTTACATTTATTGCATAGGGATACATTTTGTGTCACCTGTAATTTTATAACATGAAGAATCTGAAAACATGGCAACAAATTTTTTATCTGTGCACTTTTTTCAGACAGACACAGAACATGCTGTCAATCGCCCACTGGTGATTAACAGAGTTGTGCAAAACTAAGTGGCTTTAGCACATAATTCCTGGTAGGGCTAACAGACACAGCAAAGTGCAATGCAATTAATTTGGTTCACAGTACAACAGCAGGATGTTCATTATGTAAAGGCAGAGCTTATATCAAAGTTGACGGGGGATTTAGAGTTTTTTTTTAGCTAAATGAATGGCACCGATAATATACTGACACACACTTCAGATGAACCCATCATCATCCTATTTGGCAGTGTCTGCAGTCTCCAGTTTCCAATCTTATAATCATTCAATAGTGCATTTGAACAGCTGACTCAGATTCCTGCCTCAAAAGTTTTTGGATGTTTTAGCAGGAGGTTTTACACTTGTAACTCATTACCATAATACTTTAATTACAGTTCAGACCATTACAGATCATTATCATTCATCATAAACTGTTTACCACATTTAAGGTGACCTTAAACGAGGACTTGGCTTGAATGTGCAGTCCAGTCCAGACAGCTCGCACTGGGGTTGGCAACAAGAAAAATGTGAATAAGGAGCCACATGTTGACATGATTTACAACCTTAGGATGGATTGTTTTGTGCAGACACTGCATCTAATCATTTGACTAGCCATTTAAACATTTCAGGTATACTTCAGGAATCTCAGAAGGAATCACAGATCTGCTCTTCTAAAAAAAAATTACATAGGGGTTTTAATATTTTGAGCCATGTTCAATTGGAACCAGTCTGATTTAGGCTACTCTTTCTGGTGATAGAGTTTAGATCTATCATTGATAAATAAATCCAGATTTTATGTCACAATAGCTTTATAAGGCAAGATTTCAAAATATGACTACATACTGTATACAGTACATTCTCCCTTCTCTGAAAAAGCTCCACTGGAAGAATATGCTCATACTCTGTTTGGCAGGGCTCCAACCTGCTGGGTTTTTGGCACAAAGCTGGTAATATGATGAAATAAAAGGGCGTTTTCCCTGTGGACTCTAAGGGCAGCCTTTTTTGACAACTCGACTAATTCCAGTCCAAGGTTTAGTCAGCATGAAAGCTTATAGGAAAGCCTGTGATATGTTAAATGGAAGCCAGATACTCCCTTGCTACCAGAAACTGATCTTTAAAGATGCTTATTAGAAACAACAATAACGCAACAATCTTGGCTAATCATTTATTTATCTTTAAAACTCAAATATATTATTAGACACATCAGTCTGACTTTGCGTTAGCTAAATTGTATGTATGTGCCTTTTAATATGTACTGTATGATTTTTACAAAGTCTGAAATAAACAAAATAACAT